GCCAAGAATCTGAAAATGTAATTAGGTCAGTTTTGACCAAATTTGACTTAATCCTCATTTCGATATGATGGGTCACATATTTATGTGGATCAATGTATTGTAACACCCTAAGAAAAAAAATCTGCTTCTCTGGTGTCTGCACACACGTTTCTACAAACAAAAACATAAATAGATGAGACAGGAAGTGTGTGTTCTGTATGCACCTGTCTTCATTTCTGTACACTCCCCAGACCACAGCAATGCTGATGCACACAGCAGCCAGCAGGATAGACCTCACAGAGATGTCCCTGTCTCTGACGGACACGCTAAAAGACASAAACGTACAAATCAAACTCAAAGTTTGTCAGCCTGGATGGGAGTCAGACATGTTGCGAAAAATAAATAATACACAGAYAGCTCCGTTTTGCATGACGAAAAGGCTACCTCAACGTGTACAAAATCGTTCCGGAAAAACCAAAGCTCGTACCTCAAAGTGCTGCAACCGATTCTGTCCAACACTGCATCGAAGCAGCTGAACAGTGCAGAGGCAGAGGCAAGGCAGAATATAGCAATAATGATGTAAACTGAAAATAAAAACAACAAAAAAACCAGTGAAACACACAGTCTGTTCTAATACAAAAGAGTTGGCTTGTTTTGTCTSTTTTGTTCCACTCACCCAGAATGTTGTAGAAGAAGTACATGAGGACCAACATCCCACACATCAGGGCGACAAAGATGACCACTTTGAGAGGGGAGTAGAGGGAAAGCTCGCCGCCGTTGGCTTTAGTTTCATCCCCTCCCCCGACAGCGCTGCTGTTCAACTTGTCTCTGTAAAAAACAGACCGTCGTGTTTATTTCTGCTCGGCATAATGAACAACACTTACACCGTCTGTGGACGGAATCAAACTTAAAGAACTGACATAAACACGACCCGATAAGGTCTCTGACTTTCTAGTTCAGGTTTACAGGGCTCACGGTGACGAGTCACAGTTCTCCGAGTTCTCACCTCTCACATGCTCCGCTCCAGAAGCCGCCTAAAATGATCGTTACCACAGAAATGAGCAGGATGACGGCGATGCTTGGATCAACTCTGGAATAGGGTGGTGCATACAGCTTCACTGTCATCCCCTCAGCAAACACCTGAAGAAACAAAAATAAATTTATAAATGTTGCACTGACCAACACTTCATCAGGTTTAATAATATTTGACAGTAAATGTGAAAGAACCACAGTTTGGACTTTCTCAGAGGGACACAAATGCCTGGAAAGAGAGCAGCTCAAAATGATGATTTTTTTTCCCGCTGCGAAACTGGCCTGGGAAAAGGATATGGACACTTTTATAAAACCTCGAGTCTGGTCTACCATATGGGACAATGCTGCTAAGATCTCAGTTTGCAACAGAACAAAACCATTTCAGTTTAGGATTCTACATCGGGCACATATGACACCATATGACACAAAATGAAAATTTTGAAGTACTGGTCTGATGTGGTCAAAGAGTTGTATTACATTTTTAATGTTACTTTGCAGCTAAACCCCAAATTCCTACTTTTGGGCCTGTCTGACCCGTTGGTTACGGCTTTATATCCTGCTYACTTTTACTGCCAGGAAGGATATTTTGCTTTTCTGGATTAAAGATTCGGGACCCTCATTGAAATCATGGCATGGTTTAATACGGGAATGCATTCCTAATGAATATATTACTTGTTTACTTAACTCTTCACTGGACATTTTCAATTCTACCTGGGATCCCTACTTGAAATATGTTGGGCCTGAGGTGGCCTCTCAATAACTCATAGGTCTATCGTCCTACTGATTGGTTGATTAAGGTTACTATTTTATTCCCTTAATGTTTATTTGATCTGAGCAACTGTATGTAATTTTTTTTCTGTCTGTATTTCTTGTATTGTTTTTCATTGTGTGTTTTTCTTAAATTAATTTAA